TATTCTATGAATCATGGTATATATATATATATACATACATAGAGAGAGAGAGAGAGAGAGAGAGAGAGAGAGAGTTGGAGAAAGGTTCTCGGAACAACTATGAGAACCTAATTTATCTCAACAGTTTGGATGTGATTGTTATATTTTGACAGTTTGTGTGAAGGGAGTTTGTTATCTTGCTTTATTGTTGGCATAATAATTATATTAGTCAAAGACATTTAAGAAATTAAGCCAAGAGTAATTAGCTCTTTTCTTAGCCCTTTTATAATCACAAATATTAGCATTAATAATACTTTTTTGAGAATTGAAGCTTGTTGTAGAAGATTTTTGCAAAGAGGGTCATATTCAAGTTGATTCACTACCAAATTCTTTTTATCTTTCAAATTGACAATGTGCTTTTGAAGAAAGTTAGATCAGTTTTCATTCTCATTTCTCAATGTGATCTCAAAATTCTTAAGAATATTTATTACATGAAGAAAAATATGATCACCTTGAACATGAATGAGCCGAGCCTTAGAAACAATGTCATAAAACTCATGACAAGAACTAAGGAAGTTGTTATACATAAATCTACAATTATGTTTAGTAGAGTTACTAAAATTCGCAATAATAGGATGATGATCAGAATAAAAAAAGATTTAAAACTTAAAAAAAGAATTAAAAAAAAGCATTAATCCAGGAGTGATACACCAAAAATATATGCATATTTAGACCTATATTTTATACTCATTTTTTTGGTGATATTGCGCTTTAAAGGCGCTTTAAAGGAAGGTATTTTTTAAAGGAAGGTATTTTTCATGTTTTATTTCAGGTTATTGATTTTTAGGAGTTGAAGCAAAAATGACGGAATTTGGAGTCAAAATGGCGTTTTTGAGGAAATACTCAGCGCCGACAGTGCCAGGATGAACGCCGACAGCACAGACCTACAGAACTGAGGCCAGAATATACTCAGCACGGACGGCGCCAGTAGCAGCTCCGACAGCGCCATTTGATAGAAAGCACGAAATTAATTCATGGGCCACTGGTGCCGACGACACCAATTTCGGTGCAAAATCTATTTCTAGAAGATTCAACAAATTTGGATGCTTTTTGAAAAGTTTTTGGATGAACCTATTGGAAAATCAAAATTAGGCTCTATTTAGGGCGAAAATTGATCAGAAATCCCAATTTCACTCCCCCCAACCACATAGAGTCCATTAGTCATTTTTTTCTTTAGAGATTTGAGTTTTTGTCGTGAGTTTAAGTGTGAATTCTTTTTTAAGAGTTGTTAAAGAGGGAGAGAAGTGAGAGATTTCTTCTTCCTACATCTTCTAAGAGAGAATCAAAAGTATTGTAAAAAGAAAGTATTGTAAAAAGAGACTACAAGAGATTTGCTTTGAGAAAAAGTTTCAGATAAGTGTTGTTTGTTTATTATTGTTGTATGAACTTTCTTTTATGTATAAAATTTGTGTTTTATTGTATTTTTCTCATGAAATCTGAGCAGTTTTCTTTATCTTTCTCCCTACTCTGAGATATGGTGAAATGAAGAGAAATTTTTTAATGTATCAATTTTAAAATATAAAATAAATGTGATGGTTTTTCAACTTCGTTCTTAATTTACCTTTTGATCTGGCCAATTGAAATGTTAAAATATTTTGTGAAACGTATGATCTGGGAAATGGAGTATGAGTTCTACAATAAAGTGAGAATCACATTTAATTCAAGAGAGGAGTATTTCGTTCATGGGATTAAGTGCAAATAAATAGGGAAATATACATTGTTGGGTGTAAAATTGGAGATTTTAGAGTGACAAACTAAAAGTGACAAAAAAATTGGAGATTTTAGAGTGACAAACTAAAATCCCCAATTTGGTCTTAGTGTTTAAGAACTAAAGTGAGTGTTAGCCTTCAGGGGAAGCGAAGTGGGAGCTATGGAATGAGAGCTAGTATCCTCCCAGTCTAACCACAGATTTAGGACTAAACTTGAGATTAGCCAATTATTCTCTATAACATTGAATCATTGTAGAGAATTAAAATTGTTCCTATTTGGCACAATACATATTTAAACCATTTATCTAATCTCACTTTACCAAAAACTTATTGTAGTGGAAAAAATGTTTTTTCATATTTGATAACTTCATCACATAAACATAGTTTGGTAGTTACTGTTTAAACTTTGCATTTCAGCTTTGCTAGTAGTTTATAATTTAGTTCTGATAGTACATCAAATATTCGAAATTAGTTACAGTAATTTTATTTTATTGCTGTGAATTTTCTAGTTAATTTATCACTTCAAATTTAAACATTCCTCGTGGGATCGATATTTATCGATATTTGATATTTGGGGTTTAAACAGAAAGTCTTGTATTACTTGATAACGAGGCTTAAATTTCTTATTTATAAAATAACGCATCAAGTTTTTTGCACCATTGAAAAGCGGAGTCAAATTTATATATTTTGCTCAACTATATCATCGGGATCAAAGAGTTATTGCAAAAAGCTCTATTAAGTAAACATTTAATTAGATTATACAATTGATTTTAATCAAAATATAAGAGTAACCAGTATTATGAAGCTCAATCAGACCATTATCAAGATTACAGTTATTAAAATCAACAAGTCTACTATGAATGTGGGGAATATCTCCAACTTCCTCCTTACAAGTATGAATACAATTAAAATCATTAAATAAAAGCTAAAACACATTAATATTAATACTAATAGTATTTATAAAATCCCATAAATATTTTTCTTATGGCAACATTATTATCAGCATAAAAAATAGTGATATTGAAACAAATTGAAGAAAAGAAAGAAATAATACCATGGATAAATTGAGGACCAATGTTAAAAATAGAAAAATGCATTGCCTTAGAATCAATTTGACCAAATCCTATCATTATTAGCATGGTTAAAATTTTTAGTTCTTCCTTCATAAGGGAATAGTTTCAAACAATTAGAAATAAAAGAGTCAAGCAAACTATCAATAAAAATCCTAGTCTTTAGAAAACAAATAAAATCTACTTTACAATCACTAATAAGCTTCTTGCAGTTAGATAAACAGACAAAACTATTTAACTCTATCACATTCCAATTAATAAGATTAGAATAAATCATAACAAAAAACTAATGGAAAAGCATATTATTGATGAAAAAACTAAGAAACAATATCTTTTTACTTGTCTTTCTTCTTTCTAGAAGGCGTAGGATGAATAAAGCTAATATCTTATTTTAGTAGAAACTAAGGAATCACTCTCCCAAGTAATCTTTTTATTTACATCATTATCAATACTAGAAGAATTCATAGGCAATATATTATCAACCTGCAAATTAAAATTATTCTCATTAGAAGCAGCTTCACATGTATCATTATTTGAAGACTTGTCAACAAAATATCAAGATTCTAAGCAAGATTCACAAGATCCTTCTCAACCATTGATAGAAAAAATAGGATTTAGAATTAAATCATTATTTGTAACAATACCCATAGGCACAAGGAAGAATAACAATGATACCAGTTTATTTAAGTGAAATAAGAACCAAAGAAGAACTATAACTTATTAGTAGTAGTAGTAGTAGTAGTAGTAGTGATATTCTTACTCCAACCTCTATAAGCAAGAGTGATTCACACATGTTTCTTAACAATACTTTTCATACAACTTAAAGAATCATGAGCAAAGGTAGAGCATGACTTACTTGAAGTGGATTTCCACTCATAAATAAATTCTTGCACAAACTATTTACCTTTTCACACTTAAAATAATAGAATATGGAAAAATAAAGCATGTGCTTATATGCTAGCACCAGCAAAAGCTAAACAACAACCTTTGTTGTTATAGGATAAACAACAACGAGCACAACGATCTTACTAGCAACTTTAGATACTCTTATTTTTTACTAACAACACAAATGGAGGTTAGGAAATTCTACTCGTATATGAATATCTTCAACATATTCTCTTATAGGCTTAAAAATTGTGAGACCATCTCTTGAAAGTAAGCAACTTCCTATAAATAAATCACAACCACTAGATAATAACATTTCAAGATCTACAAAAAATTAATTTTAAATAAAAAGAAACCTTCATTAAGATATAGAAGATTAACAAAACCTTATAGCTTCCAAATCTTGTTGATTACATGCAAAAGATTATCATAGAACGGTCTTTTCCACAAAGTATACCCAACAAGAAGGAAACTCCACAGTTTTGAACTTTCATTGATCTCATCATTAGAGAATTATACTTTTTCCATCTGCACTAGAAAAAAAAAATGATAGAATTAAAGAGGAGGAACCATTAATATGAGAAGAAATCAAACCTTTCCAATTTAATGATAGAGAAAAATCCATAATAGATTGAGAAGTAGTAGGGAGAGGGGGAAACTAATAAGTAGTAGGGGAGGGGAAACTAATAAGTTTCTATAGTAAAAAACAAGGGAAAGTCCCAAAAACTCTAGGTGAAATCAGTACATAAAAAAACAAAAAAATCCAGAAATTTTTCAAGAAGAGGAAAAATAAAGGGAAA